AAGGTTAGCGGTCACTGAAACAGGGCTCATTTGCCTGCCTTGGCAATTGAACCAATGTCACATGAAACACAGGGGGAATTTTTACAAAGGTAAAAGAGATGAGATTCAGTCTTTTGTTACTTCGCGCCAGCTGCTTTCCAAAACTGAAGAGAATTAATTGCACCCAGTGGCTGCTTTTTTAAGACCCTTTTGACTCTCTTCAGATTAAAAAAAAAGTTACATTTTAGGGTTTGTTTTCCTCACCCCCCACTCCCACCCCACCAACAGGAAAAAGATAACTTAGACGACGTGTATATTTTTCACAAGAAACATATACCACGGCAGCATTTTAAAATTAAATGTATCGCATTGTGTGTGAGGATGTGGCGGTGATGGGAGGGGGGGGGGGGGCAAGATTTAGAATTTCCTACGGCTGCTCGAGCAGGAATAGTGGAGAGCTGTCTCATTTTTTGACTGTAAAAGGGAAACGTTCGCCTACTATTATAAGAAGATAACAGGAGGGAGGGCAAGGAGAAAAGGGTTATTGGTATTTTGGATTCTCTTGACTCCTCGCCTTGGAGAGAGAGTTATTCTTGTCACTGCCTTTTGTCTGCATCTGCTGACTGCTTCCCTGCAGCCAGCAACATGCTTCAACTGTTCGGTCACCTCCTAACATCACATGCATCAGCTGTTGTGCTTTTGTTAGAGGTTTTGTACGTCTAATCCGGTGTGACCATACTGCCGCACAGTAAATCAAATGGAGATTGTTTCTGGGATGACTTCCTCATAAATATTTTAGACAACCTTTACTGCCTTTATTCTTAAAAATTGAAAAACAGATTAAAACCTAAATGCTTGTCTGCCAAGTGTATAGATCATCTCAGGGTACTTCCTGCTGTTAAATGTAGTTTGGGGGGGAGGTGGGGGGGGTGAAGAGGCAGGGTTAACCCTTTAAATGCCAACAGACTGTTTTCAGAATACTGTGTTTCAAAAGTTGTGCAAAAATCGCTCGTGTGTGATCAGGAACAAAGTTTAAAATTTGAGAAATTTGCACAACTATTGAATGCTGTCAACTGCTGGTGCTGAATTCTCGGTTTTAAACTGCACGTTATTTTTTTTCGGTGCAGAAGTGCTACCCCAGTCCTCCAGAGTTTCATGACTCAATATATGGGTGGTGTTTTTTTTTAAGAAATACATGTTTTAAAGTAGATCAGCAAATGTTTAAAAGTGTTTTTTTTTAAAAAAAAGGTGGCAGATTCTCCCTTTCAGGGAACATAATTGAATTGAATATAAGTCGTGAAGTGCTCCCACCCTCAGAGCTCAGAGTGCGGATAACGTCATTAAAATGTGCAGCTTTTAGGGTAAGAATTCCGTTCATCGTTACGCCACATCGCCTTTCGTGATGTCGGCACTAATGGAATTTCCCACTGTAGTCTTACGTCGCCAAAATCTCTGTGCGTAAAGCCGGACAGAGTTTACCCCATTATGAGCGGTATTCAGAATATTTTTGGACAGCGAGTTCTATTTCCACTCTCTGGTTCAGAGCAAACATAGAGGGCGATTCTGTGCTAAATCCATTTTGCAGACATTGTAATCTAATGTGCAGAAATACGTGAAGGGGGTTCGTTAGGAGTGACTCCTGAGAGCAACTAGAGTCGGCCAGCCACTCCGACTCAGAACTCCAGAGGTCCTGCACGTTGGCGGGAATACTCTCCCGCTGAGTTACCATTGGGAGTTGCTCTATTGTGACTCCAGTTTGGAATGACAGCGTATTAAACCCCATTGTAAATTACCTTCACTTTGTGACTATGCAAATGTTTTCACATTCCTAGTGGGCTGTTGCATGACCAGATGCATTCAGTTAGCGCGGTGAGGAAGAATGATATCATACACTGGGCTACACTGATGCTGATTTTGTCCCCATGTCCTTGGTGGTAGTTGTATGGAATTGAAATTCTCTGCTGCACCTAATATAGATTGAAAATTGGTCTAGCACCACAAATGGTGATTGCCATACAGGTCTATTTAGCAGGGGAGGAAAACTGGCATTAAAAGGTTCACCTTCTGTAAAATACTGCTATTATGTTTTCATGCAAAGAGGTGTGATAAAGAACCATAAGGTGAATCGTAACCAATGGATTGACCTTGTATCTTGCAAGTGAGTTATGGTTAGTGCCACAAATGAGATATAGATCACATCTCAGAATTTATTTTAGAATACATTTAATTTAAACCACGATGTGAGTAATTTAAGTTTGATCAAAAGACGAAATAGGAAGTAATTGATGCACAGGTTCCAGATCGATTTCAGTGACAGCACTGTGAATTTGCGGTTCTCCATTATCGTGTGATCTCAGTGGAATACAAATATATAGGACGCACCTCACTGGAGAGAGAGTGAATGTATGGAATTAAGGGGAATATATTAGCATGGATTGAAGAGTGGCTAACGGGAAGAAAACAAAGAGTAGGGAGAAAAAGGCCCTTCTCAGATTGGCGAGATGTGACTAATGGAGTGCCACAAGGCAGTGCTTGGGCCTCAACTATTTACAATCTACATCAACGATCTAGATGAGGATATCGAACTTAATATATCCAAATTCGCGGATGACACTAAACTAGGAGGGAGAGTAAGCACCGAGGATGACATTAAAAAAATGCAACGAGATATAGATAGGCTAGGTGAGTGGGCAAATAGGTGGCTGATGAAGTATAATGTAGGGAAGTGTGAAGTCATCCACCTAGGTGGCAAAAACAGTAGAGCAGATTATTTTTTAGAAGGGGAGAGACTAGATAGTGTTAGCGTTCAGAGGGACTTGGGTGTCCTTGTACACCAGTCACAAAAAGTTAGTTTGCAGGTACAGCAAGCAGCTAGGAAGCTAACGGTATGTTGGCATTTGTTACAAAAGGGTTAGAATATAAGAGTAGGGAAGTCTTGCTGCAACTGTATAGGGCCCTGGTGAGACCGCACCGAGAGTATTGTGTGCAGTTTGGGTCTCCTTACTTAAGAAAGGATGTACTCGCCTTGGAGGGGGTACAACGTGGGTTCACTAGGTTGGTACCAGGGATGAGGGAGATGAGTTATGAGGATACGTTGAGCAATTTAGGCCTATATTCTCTAGAATATAGAAGAATGAGAGGTGATCTTATAGAAACCTATAAGATTATTAAGGGGCACGACAGAATAGATAGTGGGAGACTTTTTTCCCTGTTTGGAGAAACTGTAACCAGGGGTCACAGTCTTAAAATTCGGGGTAAGCCCTTTCGCACTGAGTTGAGGAAAAATTTCTTCACTCAGAGGGTAGTGAATTTATGGAATTCTCTACCCCAAAGGGCTGTAGATGCTCAGTACTTGAACATATTCAAGACTGAGATTGATAAATTTCTTGTGGATAAAGGAATTAAGGGATTTAGGGATAAGGCGGGTAGGTGGAGTCAGAATAGATCAGCCATGATCTTATTGAATGGCGGGGCACAGGCTCGAGGGGCCGAATGGCCTACTCCTGCTCCTAATTCTTATGTTCTTATGTCTGCTTATAACATGGATGTTATAGATAATCGGAACTTGATTACCGAAAGTTTAGTGCACCTCCAGCGTGGACTGCCCACTTTTCTGTGTATGTATGCAGTGCACAGGAAGCTGGCCGGTCAGACATTCATCTCGCCAACATTTCTAACATCAGCAAACCAGTCTGCGCTGGAAGCAGGAAGTGTCCTGAGACTGTCAGCCATTTTTTCCGCAGAGCTATTATAACTCTTGTAACTCAATGTCCAATGTTATAGATCAAAAACAATAGTCCTCTTGTGTTTGTTTCTTGGCTCAGGTCCTCCACTCCAGACAGGGGGATTTCCACATGTTGGTGGCATGCATGGAACTCATTCCGGTTTGGATACTCTTAAGCGTGGCGATGGGTTTCCGCGTGTGTCAAATACCTGGCTGACCGGAGAGAGTAAAAAACCCAAAAGATTGTTCAAGCGTCCTTAATATTTTCAAAATTATCAGATTTGGGGATTTCACTTTTAATTTTGATACCATATTTAATAATGTTCACCAGTGTAAAAAAAGTATTGCTAAGATTTAAACACCAGTGTCTAACCACAAGAGGTTCCTGTAATGAAGTGCGGGCCACAGAAACCCGGCAGCACATGCCATTCTGTGATGGGTAGCAGTCTAGCATCCTGAATTGACATGTCGTCTTTAAAAAGTGTAATCAAAGTGACTCGGGTTCATTAAGCATCTAGTTATTATCTTATCGTGTAAGAGACTGAATGCACATTTATCTGGGAAGCAGGTGAACACTAATTTAGGCAGCAACCACGGTACATTATCTCAAGCCATTTCCATCCCTGCAACATGTACTAATGTAAATATGCTGTAAGTCCATTAAATGAGAACATTAATATTCATCACAAAGTATTGCTTTATGTCACCAAATCCAATAGGTTAGAATGATGCCTAAAGGCTCTTTGATGCACACGGGTATATTAGTGGCTATTTAACACACCCAAAGCAGTAGCGTTTAGCCCCAGATTCCCGTTGAAAATGGCTGAGCTGTGAGTGTCCAGGTGCTCAGTCCATGCCTATGTAAGAAGCCATGTGTCACCTCAACTTAATGCTGGGATTGCACCAAAATATTAAAGTGAAACGCTAGGAAAATATTCCCCTTTTTTTTAGAGCTAGGGAAAAAAATAATAATCTCATCCACCACCACCCAAGAAAAAACATTTTTTTTTAAAATGGTGAAAGATCACGACCTTTAAGGTTTGAAGCTGTGTAGACCAGATTGCTGAAATTAAAAGGAACCAGAAGCACCTCGCTCATCTTTCTAGAAATAGCCTTCCTGGAATAAACTGGAAATCGCTAACTTTGCCGTGCTCGGTGGCTGGGTGCACAAGTGCTTTACAGAGATGGGGGGAGGTTGCTGAAAGCACAGCCCCTTTTTCCCCTCCCCTTCTTAACGAATAGGAGACTTCGGACTGAAATTGAAAACTGCTAATGTCATTGTCTCCTTCTGTATCAGCAGGTTCCGGAGAGGTTCTTGGAAGTGGCTCAGATCACATTACGGGAGTTTTTCAATGCCATTGTTGCAGGCAAAGACGTTGATCCTTCCTGGAAGAAGGCCATCTACAAGGTCATTTGCAAGCTGGACAGCGAAGTCCCAGACGTTTTCAAATCTCCAAACTGCCTGCAAGAGCTACTACACGAGTAAAGATGCCCAGAAGCATCTGAATGTATCAGATACAGTATAGCATACACCCCCCCCCCTCCTCTGTTTTGATGCCCCCAAAATTGTGTATTATTGCTTTCTTAGCTCTGCTCACTTTTCCCCAACGTTTTACCCATTCACGTTTTGACCTCGTGTCTCCTCCACTTCTCACAAAAGGATTATTCGCCACATTCTTGAACCCGCTAACACTGATCCCCGAACCCTTCTGTTTTTAGAAAGTTAGTTTTTTTTATTTGATTTCCAGAAGAAGGTGTGAAAGTCTACGGTTAATTCTTTTTACCCCAAGGTAGCACATTACACTTATAGTAATCTGTCAGATGAGAGGATTTATTAATGATTACTTGTGGCAAGTGGCAAATAGCTATGACATCATTTGGACAATAAAATAGATGTCATGGGATACACTACACACTGGGAGATTTAGGTTTAGCTATATTGTTATTAGATGTGTGTAAGACTGCCATTGTTTGGGATTTTAGACTTGTTTCCAGTTGATCTTTGCCCCAAGACAAGAACTAATAATATTATAGTCAGACTCACATACAGTGTCCATTTTTCTTTCCCTCTGCATAACCAACAGCTGCGGGTGATGGTGTCCCGTAGCTGCACTCACTCACGTTGCGCTGACCCTGATCTTACCGACCGGCGATTACTTTCCTACTGAGATGGCCGTTTTCCTGCTAAGAAATGACTACTTTTTTCCACTAGAAATGACCACGCTGAGAACAGCCCTCCCTGGCTTAGACCAAGTCCCCTCTCCTGCACTGGGGATGGGGGGGTTTGTGGGTGGCCGGATTCCTATGCACTTCCGATGATTCCAAATGGATCCTTTGTTACAAAGATTCATAGCCGGTCAGACCACCAGAAACGCTCGTCTCCAGGGAATAGATACCATCATTCTCACTTTCTTAGAATTCATTTTACAAACTAATACACAACTCTTAAATATTTATACTCCGAGAGAGAGATTACCCAGTTAGCCTGGTATCTGTTAGCACCAGTTAATGGAGCATTAAATCTACAGCTAAGATATAGTTTTTGGAGACATTATGGAGCTCCATTAATATCACTGTTTATTTATTGGAACCGTGTTTTCAGTGTTTGAGTACACTGTAAACTGACAGATTTTCAAGCCTCAATGTTTACAATTGAATAGTACTCTCTTGCCCATGCTCTGACTTTATTGGGAGCTGAGACATGCTTGTCGATCATTACTTAAGAGTAATGTTAATACAACCGTTGTATCTCTCAGCAAACACTGAAGGGGGAAAAAAAAACTTGAAAATTGAGTTGATGAAAATGTGTCCGTTTACCACTGTTGAAACCATGAAAAAGACATTGGATTGTCATTACTCAAGTTCGAGGGAGTCGGTTCAGGTTAAAAGAAAAGAAAAACTCGAATGCAAAAAAAAATGCACTTTAAAGTGCAAAATGTGGTGACATACTGCTGAGTGCATTATTATAATTAGAATATACATACTTTGTGAAATGGCTACTTGTATATAGTGTGCAAATGTTATATTGAGACAGAAAGTTGCATGTGCTTAGACATGGCAATACTGTGGGAATTGGTTTGAAACTAAATTGCTGAAACTGTGAATCTGACGTTGGTTGGGTTTAATCAGATTTCCGCTCAATTGAAATTACGGTATGTGGAGGTTTTTTTTGCATTCTGATTTAAGTTGCTTGCAACTAAAATATGTCTCGATTTGATGCAATGGAAAGAGACGTGTCTGGGGAGGGAGGACCCAACATTTCACCACTTTCCGCCTTTCCCTCCTCCTCTCATCCCCATTCTCCCTTCCGAGCAGTTTATATTGTGTGTTGACACTGACTGTTGAAAGCCCCTTGAGTCACTAGCTAAAAAAGAACATTCTGAAATATTTACATTCTGAAATATATAATATATATATTTTATATATATATATAGTGTATGTGTGTGTGTATATATATATGTATTATATATATATATATACTTTAAGCAGTTGAACTGAGAAAATACTACCCTCATTAGTCTTGAAGACTGCTATCTGAGAGTGACCTTTAGTTGTAGTGTATTTATTTTGTTTGCCAACGCAATTACTACTGAAAACGAAATCCTGTGTGAAATGACTTTGTGAATTATGTGTGTGTGTGTGTGTGTGTGAGAAAGAGAGAGAGTTTATTGGGAACAAATTTGACTTTTAAACCAATTCAGTTTGATGATTGCACACATTTTTGAGATCCATCAGCCAGCACATGTATGAGAACATTTTAAAATTACTGAGGTAAGCAAAATGTTAGATTGGGTTCAAATACAACTTACCTGACTTTATAATTGCAGTTTCTGATGAATGATGAAGCATATAAATCTGCACTTTCTGGGATACTCAACTTAAGATACAGTATTGTAAAAAAAAATAGCCGGTATAACTATTACCTTTCTGAAACATCTCCGTAGAATATTTTTTTGAAACTTATCTTTCTACAATCATTTAATCATTTTGGCTTGGACAAAAAAAAAGGATGATTTTGCCGGTATCTCATTTTATAATGCTTGATTTCAGCAACCACAAATTCAAAATGGATCTGATTTGGTTTCTGCCTTAGTTAAACCGAATTTGTGTCAAACTCATTTGGTTTATGGGATTTATTAAAGAAGGATTTTTGATGATTTCCCCCCCCCACCCCCCCCGCCCCAACCACTCCCTATTTATGTTGTCACGCAAACCTACCTGTTTAAAGGGGCTTTGTCAACTAGAAAGCCAGAAATTCTGTACTTGTAGCAGTTTCTTAGGATGAAGGAAGGCTGGTGCTCCATTTGTGATCTGTTCAGTCACACTATATTTGGAGAAGATTTCAACAGCTTCCCAGTCCGCCACCACCTTGGATAATGTCAGAACAGTTGCGTAGCTACTTTGGATCATCTTGGGCTGTTCTTTGCTGTTACCATAAATCACTCACCTCCTTACCATTCTCCACAAAATGATCCAGTCTCTAGGGTACACCCACAATCATGTTTAAACTTTTCACTAGCATTTGCTTTTATATGTAGGGCTGAAATAAAATGGCACTTTGATGGAATAACTCTAAATGCAGTGTTGCAGTGAGGTTTCTTCCCCCTACCTTGTAATTAATAACATCTCTTTTCTGTGTTAAAAGAACCACACTCAAATCCAGTATAATTCCGTTCAACAGTTTTATCCCCTTTTAAGTAACAAAACCACTTTAACTTTGTTCACATTTTCGTTAACTGGCAATTGCAAAACCACTTTTTTCCTGTACACATCTTGCACTGAGTATTCCAGATTAGAACTGGCCAAATGTATAAAACTGCAGGATGCGACTTACAGTTTATTTTGAATAAATTAAGCATTCATTATGTTCTATTTGGGTACTGAAGCTATTTGGGATGTAGAGCTTTTTACCTTGCATTTCAGCATTATAAACCTCAGATACCTTGCAGAATACTCATACGTACTATACTCATCCTACAGAGCATGAAGGCACTTTCAGGAAAAAAAGACCCAGGACTTATTTGTAACTTTTTAGAAATGAACCTTAGTGAATCTCAAATACAAGTATTTGCTGGAAGGTTATTGTAAATACTAATGAGTAAGAATTCCAACGCTTTGAAAGCCATGTTGACTAGATGGGTGGAATAATAGTCATTTGGACTTTATGTTTTATTTACTGAAACTTTAGTATTTGTTAGAAACCTAGAGGAGAGGGTGATACCATAAAGTAATTTAACTATTCATATCACTGACCATTTCACGCTAATATATCTGTGTCAGTGAAATCCAGTACTTTTGGTTTCTGTTGTGCAGAAATCCTATTGCAGTTTTTGAAGGATTACAAGAATTAAAACTGGTCCCATAACAAAATGCAACATTAAACTTCAAGGGCAAGAAAACAGCACCATACGAAGACTTTTTTTTCAATGAGCCAGTGAAGGGTTAAACTACTTTCCTGTTCTATAAGGTTGTTTTACAGCTCTGCAAAAAACAGATGGTAACTGATATCTGCAGGACTTCTGTCAACTTAAGGTTCATTTCAGTTAGGTTGAACTTTTACAAGTTTTTTTTGGTTATTATTTGAATTCAACCTGAACAAACAAAAAAGGGATCTTGTAGAAGGACGAAGGCACTTAAAAAAAATCTAGAATATGCAACGTTTCGCGTAATTATTGCATTTTAAAAAAAAACTGCGGAGAATGAGAGTTCTGACAATGTGACTGTGTGACTGACCCTAACGCTGCAGTTTAACGAGTGGAAAATGCAGTTTGTGGATAGAAATGCAGGAAAGCAATTATTGTCAGCGCACAAGCCTTAAAATCTGCTGACTTCAAATTAACAGCACAATGTCCTGCAATGCCCTGTCATTATTTTGGAGCACTCGCACTATCTGCAGATTGTAGGAAATGCAGCCAATAGCAATGACGTGCCAATGTTTTCACTATGCATCTAAAACAAATCTATCTTCTTAATCTTGGCCTACCCCCAAAGTGCTGAATCTTTTTAATTTTGCAATGCATCCTAAACTGTCCACCAACCCTGGAATTGAATGGCAGGCACTCGGTCTCAATTACTTGGTGACCTGCTTTGGTAACAAAGTGTAGAAGTCCATACTTCTCTGGTGAAGTTGGCTTGAGATTATCGATGGTCCCAATGCAGGACTTGCCCTGACGAGGCTGACATGATGATGCAGTCTCAACAAGGTGCAACGATTATCATAAATACGAGTAGAGAATAAAGTTCCTTCTACCCAGCTTGCTCCTTTGGAGACTGTTAGGATAAATGTGGGTAAGTCATGACCAGATCATAATATGTCATTGGTGCACAAGACTACAAAAAAAAATCATTGATTGCTATTTTGTAAAATAACAAAGTTTGGGTTCCAAACCGTTTCCTGTTTCCACAATTATTTACACCCTAGAGTTTTATATTTAAAAAAAAATCCCACTTCAATAAAGATGTTCGATAGTCCAATTGCAATGCCATTCAGACTAATTTTTGCTTTGTGCAGTATATATGAAGAATGTTCTGGAGATTTCTTTTGAACTGGAATGATTTTACGAGAGCCATAATGCCTTTGTGCCTCCAGCTACATCTTTCCTTACAAACCAGAGGTGATATGGATTGCAATCACTGGGGTTTTGCTGACTGTCCTCACACTCACTGTACCAGCATTCACTCTGCACAGTCACGATGTAACAGCTACAAGCGGCAAAGGGGCGGGGTGGTGGGGGGGGGGGCAGATGTTTTAAGAGTGGAAATTTATATAGTTTAATATGAGCTCACAAATGGATGCTATAACTGTAAAAAAAACACGAATCCCGTATTGCTGTACTCATTGCTAATAGAAATTTAATATTGCGAAGAAACTTAAGGTGATATCCTGTGCCTAGACTTTAAACGCACCAGCTTGAAGGGTATGGACACCTTCAAATTACCATTTTCCCCACATATACAATTGTTCTTGTGCCTTCTGTGGCTGAACATTACTTCATTTGGGGGGGATATTAGAGTGGGGGAGGGAGTGGGGGGAGGTGGGGATTTCCTTTTCATTCATAGCCGACTGCAATAAATGCCAGATTTTCTTTTTTCCTTTCTGCGGTTTACCATGATGGTGATAGCTATGCATATATTGTATCTTTATAAGAAAATAAATGAGCTGGATTTAAAAAAAAAAAAATTTTTGAAGAGAAATTTTTAGAACTGTTTGATAAAGCAAATTATTTTTTCCTCCTCGACTTGTTCGCTCAGCACTCGAGTTTGGGAAATCTTGTAGAAGCCAATTTTTTTGTAACTGTGGTGCAGATTTTGTGTTTTCATAGACTATTAAAAAGTAGTATAGAAGCAATATTTCATATGATGTGATATAAGTGTGAAGTGAAAGCTGACTTTTCCCTTTTAGATGGACAACTTTTTCTATTTTAGACTTACGCTGAATATGTTTTGTGAAGAGAATGTTATTTTGTGACTTCTGCGACACTTATATTTATGACTATTGCAGGATACGTCGCAGACAACGTTCACAGTATTGGGGAAACAAAATACACGGCAGACATTGAGTTGTAGTATTTAAAGTAGTGTTGCGGTATTTGCTCACATATTTTGTTGCAGTTAGGTCTGTGCCTCTGAGATCAAAAGCTGGTAAATCTAATCCAAGGTTCTGATTTTTAATTTAGATTGTTTTCAGAAAAAAAACGTGTTGCTGTAAAGTAATTGCAAAAAAAAATATGTGGGTAAATATTTGGAAACAAAAGTTTTTGAAAAGGGAGCCCTCAAGAAAGGCTGACTTGAAAGTGACCGTTTTTCCGTTTAATTCTGTTTCACAAATTACTTTACACTTTTATAAAATGTAAAGAGAGAGTTACCTTTCGCATCTCAGTCCTGTTGCTAAACATGTCACGACCAAAGTAGATGCTCTTCAAGGCTGATACTATTTTTGAAATCTCTTTGGAAAATTGCCAATTCATTTAATCTTTCACGCCTGTCCACCCCCAAAAAAAAGGCTTCTATACGGCAATTCTCTTGAATCTATATATTTATAAAACTGCATTAAAAGTTCAATTTCATGGTTTGACACAGTTGGATTTGTGAAATTCACTAATTTTCCCCTTTTCACAGCCGGACAACTTTTTTTCTACTTTAGACTTGCGCTGGATATGCTTTGTGAAGAGAATGTTAATTTTGTGACTTCTGCGACACCTATATTTATGACTATTATTGCAGAACGTGTCGCAGATAACGTTCACAGTATTGGGGGGTGGGGGGCGGAACGGGACAAAATACCAGGCAGACATTTGAGTTGTGGTATTTAAAGTAGTGCTGCAGCATTTGTACTTAAATACTTTTGTGCACTCATTACCTGCTATGACTTTTGCACCTTGTCACATATTTACAGGATGCAGGTTAGACCTCCCTATAGCACTGTGGGGTGAG